GCCGCCGCCACTGAATCCTGTGGCCTGGGTGGGCCTGGGAGTGAGGAGAGGAAATTTGGGGGAAGAATAAAGAGGATGAACCCTAAGCACTGATTTTCTTCCACATCTAACTGTTCTGACTGAACTGTGTTCCCCAAATTCACGGGGAATTCACATCATACTGACGCCTCGACCCTCTGTAGACTGTAACTACAGAGCGGGTCACCAGGCAGTAGACAGAAGAAAGAGCGGCAGAAAGCAGGCAAGGAAATTCCACTTTTTGTCTCCCTGATTACCTTAAAACTTTGGGTCCCAGCCCGCCCCAGCTCTGCACACAGGCATGTTCGTCTGTATTACAGCGTCTCTTAGCCCTGAGTTTTCCTGGCCTGTCCCATCCACCTCAAGACTGAGGACACCAAGCTAAGAGTAACTAGAGCAATGTTCAGGACTGTAGAGACATCCACCTGCCAGCGATGGCAGTGTCCAGCACCACAGGCCCCGGGAGCAAAGCCTGGAAGTTCCCAGCTGTGACCCTTGCCCTGTAGTCACCTTGGGCTCCACAAGAGCAGGAACTTAAAATCACCAATTAAAATAATATACTGGGTTTTTTACCTATCAAACTCAGGACACAGAGTGAGCACTGTCACACGCTATATACAGGATGATTCATTTACATAAATTCTTAAAAGCCATTTGTAACAAATAACGACAGCTTTGGGCTTAGAAATTCCACTGCAGAAAATCCAAGGAAATAATCAATCCATAAGATATACATACAGATCCTTCTCTAAAAGGGAAAAGCGGGAAGCTAGCTAAATGCTAAGAGGCTACTTTGGCCCACACAGTATCCTTTCAGTTAACTTTACCTTTTTCCTCTCAAAAGTCCCCTTTCAACTGCTAGAAGAAAATATAAGGAAAACAACTGAAGCCAGAAGCACAAGCAAGACTTTCTGAATTGGGTCCCAACAAGAACAGACAAAATGGGAGTACATCAAAACAAAGTTTCTAATCACTTCTCAGCCTTTTAGCTAAGACCAAGTACATATTTTGTGGTGTGTGTGTGTGTGTGTTTTGTTTTTTTTGCAGAACCAGGGATTGAACTCAGGCCCTTGTGCTTGCCAGGGAAGTGCTTATTCTATTGAGCCATTTCCCCAGCCAAGTGCAAAATAAAGTTTCTACAACAACAAAAAAAAGCAGAGTGAAGAGATAGCCTGCAGAATGGAGAGATCTTTGCCAGCTAGTCCTCTGATGGAGAATTAATATCTAGAATATAAAAAGAACTCAGAAAGCTTAACACCAAAAACAAAAACAAAACAAGGAGTCCAATCAATAATTGGGCAAATGAAATGAACAGAAGCTTCTCCAAGGACGTACAAATGGCTTATAAGTACACAGGGGGAATGTTCAATATCTTTAGCCATCGAGGAAATACAAATCAAACTATACTGAGAGTCCATCTCACCCCAATCAGAATGTCAATTGTCAAGAATACAGAAACACAATAAATCCTGGAGCCCTTCCACACTGCTGGTGGAAATTAGTTGAGTCACAGTGAAAATCAATATGGAAGTTCCTAAAAAAAAAAAAAAAAACAATCTAAAACTAAAACCACCACATGACCTAGCTGTACTACTTCTTGGTATGCATGTACCCAAAGGAATTCAAGTCCGCATATTGTAGGATAGCTATATAATCATGTTTCCTTATTTTTTTTTTTCTTTTTAGCATCAGGAATTGAACCCAGAACCTTGCACTTGCCAGGCAGGCGCTGTGCCGCTGAGCTATACCCCTGACCCTTAAAAGTGTATTTTAATATGAGTGAATTCCTGTTTTTAAAAAATTACTTTGACTTGAGTTTTGGGCCCTAGCAACAAAGTCCCAACATGGTTGTTTTGAAGCCTAGGTATACTGACCTGGGGAAAGATCTGGCAGCCCTTCTAAGCTATCCTGGTGAGTGACTTCTGGTAACAGGAGGGTACAATAAAGTGGAAGGAGGAAGTGTGACTCACAGTCCGATGCAGCAGGATCCTGGCCTTGTTGAAACATTTCAACAAAGATTGAAGAAAATACAAAAATTAACAGCCACGCTAGCTGGTGAGATGATGAACTTGGAATCCTTATTTGCCATATTTTCAACACACACAGATATACATATTTATATATCTTACAACAGGAAGGGGGAAAAAAACCCCCAAAGTATTAGGACTGGAGAGATAGCTCAGTGGACTAAGTGCCTGCTTTGGCAAGCTTAGGGACTAGGGTTCAATCCCATATGCTACACCAGCCCCGCCTCTGGGGCACACTGAGCTGGCAACCAGGTCCAGGCATGGTGGTGCATGCCTGTAATCACAGCACTGGGGAAGTTGAAAACAGGAGGATCACTGTGAGGCGAGCTGTGTAGTGAGACCCTGGACCAAAAACATAAATGAAAAAAACAAAACAAAACAAAAAAACCACACACACACACACACACACACACACACACAAAAAAAAAACCCCAACCAAAGTACTGATGCATTAAGATCACCTTTCATTTCAAAAAGGCCTTCAGTTATAATCCCAGATGAAAACGTATAGCCATCCAGCTTGAGTGTCTGAGTTTCGGGTAATACAGCGGAGCCCACACGACACAGGGAGGGTGCGATGTTGGAAAGCTCACCTCTTCATAAAATAGTAGTGGCTCCTCCTTGATTACTTTATGATTGTCACTCTGCATATTTCTAAGAGGGGGACAGGACATGTGCAGTCTCCAGGTTGATTTCTGCATTTATTTCATTGACCCTTGCTTCATTTCGTAACGGATTTTTCTCCAACCCACTGCATACTGGCAAGGACTTTAAGCCTGGACCAGAAGACAGAATACACTACAACTACTGGCTGTGGCTCGGTAATGACCACTGGCCCTGGCCAGCAGAACGGATGGATGGCCATGACAAAGATCTGCCCAAGGTGGCGCCTGGGCCCTGAAGCTTCAGGTACCTCCTCGGTTGGCTGCTTCCTTCTCGTTGATCTGTGTGTAATCAGGGGCTACCTCGCTCCCTGGGCCACAGGCGTCAGTCCCCATCTTACCCCCGTTCATCTCAGGACTCTGTCCCTCCTCTGCAGCAGGTGGGCATAGGACCTCAAGCCTGTTGGGAAGCCCAGTGTGGAAGTGGGGAAGATGTAAACCCACAAAAACTACCAGCAGCAGCAGGCCAGGCCTCTGCCACTCCTCCTACCTCTGCTGAGCTCCCTGTACTCCAGTGTCACCATCAACACCATCCTCCCCTCACACTGCCCAGGGTGTCATTCTTAGGGACTGGATTAGCTGGACTGCTCAGGAAACCCACCTGGGTACAAAGTCTACACTGCCCTCTCGTGGCCACTCAGAATATAACAGACACGTTGCACACGGTCCAGTATAAAGGAACCTGGCCGGGCCTGCAAGGTAAAGACGGCTATGGTTCAAATAGACTTTTAAAAACCAAAACTATTTTAAGTACGCTGTTTTTCTCCAGCTTCCTCAAGCTGAGAGTGGACACCACCATCCTTAGCCTTGGCACAAGGAGGATTCTACACTCCCTGGGCCCCTCTGGTGGGCTGAAACCCAGCTTCACCCACCCCCCAAATTACAGTGCATCTATGCACTCCTCGAGGTGGGCTGGGGAATGTTCTCCCAATGTGGCCAAATTGTGAACACTCATTTTCCCATTTTTATGGGCTTTTCATGTATTCTTGATAGCCACAAATGAAGAGAATCCTCAAAGCCACATTCTTTGACCAAGTCCTGTTGGCTAGAGCTGGCTCCACCCAGTGGAATAACTGGGTCCAACTTGAATATGGATGCTGTTCTGCACTGCGAAGTGCTAAAGGCAAAACCCATGTTAAGAGGGTACGGAAAGAAAGCCAGGAGATGCTCTGAATCCCGGTCCTACCACAAGGTACCCCAGAACCCAAGGACCAGTGACAACAGCAGGATTCTGGCCAGCCCCAAATTCTAGGATGAGGGGCTTCTCAGCAGTAGAAACGAGTGCTGTCACTTCCTTGGCATTTGGAAAAAGCCAGTAGCTGGCCAGAGAGCACATTTCAATGAAATCCCAAAAGTTTCCAACACTGGGCCATGGCACGGGGTGATAAATATTAATACCTAGGCTTCAGAAAATAAGTCCAAATGCTTTCTGAAACAATGCTTTTAATTATTGATCCTTCTGTATACATTAGTACATGTTTGGGATACATAATGAATACATTTATGGAATTATTGATGCTCTGAATAAGAGGTATATTTTACTAAGTTTAATGTCCATCATTTTTCTTAAGCATAAGCTGTCTGCTAGATTTAAGTTCATCCTCCCATTATCAAGTTTGAGGGCCCATATTTGATTTTTCTCCTTTCCATTTAAGCATTCAGTGGCTTAATTCTTGATATGTCCTTAAGAGGAATCTCATGCATCTTCAGGTCATATGCAGAGCACCTTCTCCTCTGAAATATGACTTTTTCCTGCCATATTATCTTCCCTGAGATGACCTGAGTTAGGCAGCAGCAGCAGCAGGAGCTGTGTAGAGTTAGTGCAGCTGAGGAAGGCTGAGATCCCTCGAGTGAGCTTTTGTACTTAAAAAGCTGTGGGGAGCCTGAAGCAGAAGGGTTCCGGCTCTGGCTGAAGAAGGCCCATACTTCTGCTTGGAAGAGAATATCAGAAATACGCAAAAACTGCATCCTCTTTCCTTCGCAATCCCATTTTGGGGCACAAAATGAAAATAGTGTGCACGTGTGCTTTGCATGGCGGAAGCTGATTACAGCATGAGTTTTCCACACGCCTTGTGTTAGAATGTAAAAAACCTAGAAAGTTTCCTATAAAAAACAGTTCTGGGGAGATATCTCTGCAGGCTAAGTGCCTCTCAGGCAAGCACAGGGACGGAGATTCAATCCCTGGCACCACCTGCCTCCCCCCACCAGCCCCACTCCCAGAGGTGCTGAGCTGGCCACCGAGTCCGGGCCTGGTGGCGCACGCCTGTAATCCCAGCCTGAGAAAGCTGGTAACAGGAGGATCACCACGAGTCTGAGCTGCGTTGTGAAACCCTGTACCAAATACATAAAAGAAAGAAAAAAAAAGAAGTAGTTTGCCCTCTGTTGGATTAATAACAACAGGTTTGTCTAACATGCTGGGACAAGAGCAAGAAGCACCCCGTCTCCCCTGCCCTCCACCCCACAATCCTGCATCTCTGGGGCAGCTGGGGCCCAGGAGGGCTCAGCACACCTCCACAGCCAATGCGGGATCTAATCCAGTAATTATTCTTCAAGGAACACTACTGGAAAAACAATTCAATTGATAAAACACATCTTCTTTGATTATAATGAAAAAGATTTCTCTATGCAAACAGCTTCAAAATATAGAGAAAAGAAAGACCCATATTTTCCAAGAAATCCAGTATAGGTCCAATATTATTTTGCAAACAAGCAAGCAAACCAACCAGCTTAAGACAGAAAACCGACCAACACTCTGAGGAATGCCCAGGAGATGCTAAGCCCTTCCAGGTTGCAAGAGCTACCCTGAGAAGTTGTCCACATGAGGATCAAATCGCCACTGCACTTCACCTAGAGAGGGAAAGAGAAAGGAAGAGTTCATTAGAATGCACTGCCAGGGCCGGGGAGATAGCTCGGTGGTCTAAGGGCCTGCCTGACAAGCACAAGGACCCGGGTTCAATCCCTGGTGTAATGCATGTCATGCCGGCCCTGCACCAAGCCAGCCACCGACTCGGTGTTGTGGCACACACCTGTAATCCCAGTGCCAGGGAGGCTGACACAGGAGGATCACTATGAGTCTGAGTTATGTAGCACGATCCTGTACCAAATACATAAATTTTTTTTAAAAAAGAATGCACTGCCAGACCTTTAAAGTTCATTTACTCTAGGGAAGGGCTAGAGACACTTGGGGGCCAAAAGTTGAAGATTCTGAGTTAAATTTCACCATTTTAGTCTGGTGAAGAACTGCCTGAGCTTGTAAAATACAGGTTCCCCAGTTCTGGTTTTACTAGGTGGCCGAGAGGCATGGGAATCATCATCTTAGCAACGGCTTCTCCTCTCCAACTCCGATTCTGACTTTTAGTAAACATGTCTGGGATGTAGCCAGAGATAGGCCAGTCGCCACCACTATGGCCACCATCTCTTCAAGGTCATTTCTGAAGGTTCAAGAGACAAAAACAATTGAGAACGTTAAAGAAAGAGGGCAGTGATGTAGCCAGGGCTGAAGGGAGCTGGGCCCAGCCGGCAATGACCCTGCCCCACCTTCCTTCCTGTCGCAGCCTTAGCCACCAGAGTCAGGAAACCCATCCGCAGGTAAAGGAGACCCAGCAAGCTTGCAATCCACATTTCACAGCTGGGAAACACTATCATGTGCACCAGAGGCGACAGAGGAGCCCTTGCACTCTGCTCCGCTGCTCATGCTTATGAGAAGCAGCGCCGACAGCAAACATATCCAGGCACGCTGAGACAGCGCACGCCACATGCCCGCTTGCCCAGGGCTCTTGACTCAAGTCATCCCATGAGGCCTCGGATCAGCCTAACAAGTGCTGCCGGTGTCACGTTTGAGGGTCCTCAGACACAGGGACCTCGGGGTATTCGGAGAAATCGGGTCTTCCCAAAGTGATCTGGGCAAGCCAGGGTGGCTGTAAGCCGGGAAAGCTCTAGAACGTCTGAGGCCCTTGTGGGTGGCTAAGGTTCCACAGGCCCTGGCGACCACAGATGTCACAGAACACTCCCAAGACCTGGAGGCAAACTGAGTGGTGCTCTGAAATGTGCCCTGGTGACAGGACAGCTGTCAGATACCACCCACTGCTAATAAGCTGCTTTACTGCCTCAGAGGGGACACTGCTGTGCCTGCAGTCCCCCTCTCAGGACAAGGAGAAAATTTCATTTTATCTCCAAGCTGCCGAAAAGGACTCACTCATCTGCACAGTAGCGCAAACTTCTAAGATGTCTACGTACTCACTCATTCAGTGTGGACATAAAGGAAAGTGTCCTTTTGTTGTTAAGCAAGCACTGCCCTCGGGATGCTGTTTACACAAAGGTCAGTGCGCTCCAGCTATCATCCCATGTCCTGGGAGGGTGGACTTTAGCCTCAGAGTGGCTGTCATTCTCGTGGTCTCCTCTCTGGCAGCTCTCGTGGCGACGACCTTGCCACCGCTGCGATATCTTCCTCAGTGGGATGCTCTGCCAGCCCAGCGAGAGCAGAAGACCAGGCCTCTCCTGCACCACAACAGCAGGACAAATACCAGGGCTGTTGGACTCTGTCTCAAAGAGTCTTTGTTTCAGACTGAAAATCAGCCAGTGCTTCCTAAATACCTGCTCTGGGTCACACCCTGTCCACTGTCTTGATTGGAATTTAAAAACACAAATTTTAAAACCCTACACTTTGCCATCAAGAAATTTAGCATCATGGCGGGAGGTGGAAACTTTCCCACGGGCTGTTCCACAGCAGTCCCTCATGAGCCACAGTTGTGAAAGGCTGTAAGCCCCCGCGGGCAGAGTCTGGCCACAGGAGTGAGGGAAGTACGCCTGAAAAGGAAGAGACCTTGGGAACAGAACAGCAGTCCCCGGCCCCGGGAACACATGCTTAGTCTACAGTGGATCTGCAGGACAGTCGTCAGCAGTTTAAAGTGAGTACTACCCACAAATGTTTGCTTTGGCCAGTGCACTCTGCCAGCCGCCAGCCCCCGTGTGCTTGCTTAAGATTACGTCGGCACGGGCCACAGACCTAATCATCCCAGTCCTTCTCAGTCCCGTGACCAAAATGCTTATACCAATGTCACAGAGTTTTTCTTTCACACTGTTGTTCTCACCTCCTCGAGTTACAAATAAAGAGCCACAGAGGCTCAGCTCAGGGCTGCTTCCCTGAAGCTTGCTGTTTCAGAGAACCAGCCCCTTTTGGCTTCTCTCTGAGTGACTGAATAACACTCAGCTTTGAATAGTCTCTCTTCTTCTGTACCCCATGGATGACGTAAGGTGCGGGGTGCAGTCCTGGCCCAGTATCACCACTCAGATCTGCCCCAACAGTGGTCCCAGGAAGTGCACCATGAACACA